TCTTACCGACAGGGCAGGTGGTATGATAGCATACCTTCTTACCGATCGAGCCCTCGGCACTGGCTGCAGCATTTTGTTGTGAAGAGAATTGCAGCTGGCCACCGCGGCAGCAGTGATGCTTCATGACGTCACGCTTGCTTTGTTGCCCGCCAATAGCTTTGAGTTGCCATCCCCTGTTCAATGAAGTTTTAGTGTATTTCACATCGCACATTGTAGAAGGAACAATGTCCTTACGCCAAATACGTGATGAACGAAAGAAGGTAACCAATAACATATTAGGCGTTGTGTTTGGTGTTTTATTTCGGTGTTGGAGAGAGATTGGTTTTGTGTCAGAGCGTTTTCCAGAGTTTTGTATGTAAAGATACTGATTTGCAGTCTAGAGGTTTTCGGTATTACAGTTTTATACGATCGATAGCACGTAGGTAGTGACGGTAAGCGTTTAAGATTTGACAACAAAATGGCGGATCCCATATTAGCGAGGTTAGTGATTGCAAGAGTTTTGACATTTCACAACAAAATGGTCTATCCAGTATTAGAGGCTATTCTTTGTGTAATTTCTTGGTAGAAGCCTTGAAGCACCGGTTAGGCATGAATTCATAACGGACTGGACGTGGTGCAGTATAAAGATTCTCATTTACCTTTATTTCCATAGATCCATACAAAGTAGAAGGATGTGAAAATTCTCATAATTCACACAATTCTTTGTGATGAATGAGAAGCAATTAAACAGTTTCAGGTATATTTTCACTTGTATCATTCCTTTTCATTTTATGTCATTTTCATTTTATGTAGGTAAAATGGTGCACATGCCAGGTTTTGGTGTACAAGAAATTTTTAACTCAGAGCTTTATCACAGTGTGCAAAGAGTAATTTCCTTGATAAAATAACTGGAGGCATGTTCAAGATAATTAATCTGAGGTGAAGTTTTGCTTGCAGATAGTGCTTGTATTGGTTCTGAATAAAGAGATGGGGTAGATGAGTAAGTAAGGAATGCATCCTACCTGAAAGAATGGTGCAGTACAATGGTAGTCGGGGGGGGGGGGGCATGCTTTTTATCTGTTGCATATTTTATGTACATATCAATCCAAATGTTTATTTTACGAATACTATCAGTCCATTCATAATTGATCCATCTTTTCCAATGTTTTATATCGTGCATAACAAAACCGTGTACTTGAATAGTTGTAATAAATAGTATTATTACACCTGTGTTCTAATGAATTATTTCAGTATCAATTTTCCATATTTTGTTAGTCTTCGCTATCACCTTAGTTTGCATTCTTCTCATGTTGGGCTAGGCATTTTGTGTTCCAGAGATGTGTTTCTGAGACTGATGATGGTAACTGTAACATAACATGCAGCACTTTAATTATAAGTTGAAAATTACATAATGTGTGGTTTTATTATTATTATATATTTTTGCTTTATGGTACTATTTCTATATACTTCTTCATGTGTGTTAGGCAGCAAATGTGTAATGATATTTTTTTTTTTCAGTCCCGTGAAATATGCGACAAGTTTCCAGGAGCATTGCTTCCCTCTCGTTGTTTGAAACGTCAACAAAAGGACAAAATGTTGGGAGAGGATGGTCTCATGTGGGAGATATCCCATGTCAACGACATGGGAGTACTGAATTCGTCGTGGAAGGAGGAAAAATCTTCAAATGGCTTTCAAGAAGTACAAAATGGCGTTGATTATGTGGACCCTCCTGAAGAGTGTAAGTAATCCATTCGGTTGTGAATCAAATTGTGCCCTGCAGAAAGTCTTAAACTTTGACTTCAGACTTTTTAAGTACTGATAAATTTCATAATATTTTGTATGTGCTCTTCTGAAATTTCATATTCCTGTCCCATAGTTTGTAATATCATATCAAGAGTACTTTGGAGCCTATTATTTTGAATGGTTCTGGCTGTTATGAGTAACACTGATTAACAAGATATTAGCAATATTAAATATAGCTTTGGTTAATGTTGGTTACTGGATTTGGGAAGTGTTGCTCCTACCACATAATACATCAGCCATGTTACCAGTTATAGGAAGCAGAAGTGTATGAATTTTGGGTGGCCTGAGTTAGTCGCTGACTTCCCACTGCAGCGGCCCGGGTTCGATCCTGGGTCTCGTCAAGTGTGATTTGTGGTGAACAAAGTGGCCCTGGTGCAGGTTATATCCAAGTACTTCGGTTTCCCTTGCTAATCTTCATTCCACCAATTGCTCCATAATCACCCTCACCTATCATCTGGGCCTGGTACAATAGGCCAGAAGTGACCACAGTACAAGGGGCTTAGTTCCACCTCACTAGCAATAAAAAAAATCGGATAAAATGAGGTTGTGGTGTTTAGTTTAATTTTATATGTTATACAGTATTGGGCATGTTAGAACCTGTTGCAGATACTGCATAACAGTATCACTTAATTATTTGAGAGTGTGGGAACTGCCCACAGTCAAGCAAAACAGTTTACAAACACTGCTTCTCATTCTGATTGGTATTTTAAGATCTTTGGCATCCTGGTAGCATGTTCTTTCCAGTTTTGAATTTACTCAGTATTATGTACAGGATGATTATGCTGATCCATGTTTTAGAAGCCAAAAATATAAAGAATATAACTGAGCTGAGCTATATTTTAATTTTATGACTTTCAAGTTTGAAATGGCAGGGTTATATTTAACAGTGAATGTGAAAACTACATCATGGTATTGCTCTATGTCCACTGTAACAGCATTCTTCCATTAATACACTGGTTGATTTAAAGAAAATGAAACTGCATAAATAGAACTAAATTTCAGCTTTATCTGAGTTACGCTGTTTTTGCATTGGCCCTTAAATGTAAGTAGAGCTTTGAAATACTTGAATTTATGCGATACATGAATTATTTTGAAGATCTGTCTTGTAGTATTCAGTTGTGTATCGCTTATTTATTCCTTGTTTGTTGTGAACCTTATGTGAAACTTGCTTCTTAAAACCACTAAAAGTTTTAAACTTCCCTTTTACACCGTTCATGTATGCACACTGCATGTCATCTTCAGGTGTCACTAAAATGCACTGATGAAACTGATGACTGTTGTCATTTGAAATGTGTGCAATAACAGTAGCGATGTAGAAGATATGTTAAAATTTAAAACTTCTAAAGGTTTTAAAAAGCAAGTCACCTGTAAGACACTAACAACTAACAGGAATAATTTTTTTGTGTCATTAGGCTCTTTTAATATGTCTTTGAGGCAGATGATGTAACATAGGAACCTGGTGTAAGTTCACTTAACATGTCTTGAAGCAAGTGATGTAATGTGGGTACCTGGTTCAGCAACAGTGCCATATACAGGTGTCCCAGGAGGAATGTGCCATACTTCGGAAGGGTGTTCCTTATGTTAAAGTATGCCGATATAACCCAAAACACCTGTGTCCAAAGTTGAACGGTTACAGAGATAATGTCCTGAGAAAAGTGTGGTCTTCTGGCGGGTCCACGCACTGTNAACTATACCTGTCAGCTGACCAGTTTGTTTGTCCTTGAGTGTGGTGATGACAGACCTCACTAGCCGCATACACTCGCATACCAGAATGCGCAGTCAGCCATGTTACATCAGTGCTTGCCATTCATGTGTCATTATAGTGCTTGGAACCCTAACGACAACTATGACATGGCGTGGAGTTGTTTTGTAGTTCAGTTTAATGGCTTCATATCAGTCACAAGTTAGTTTGATGTTACGTACATTATTGACATTACAGAAACCACATATTCCTGTCAGTTTTAATATGTATTTGGTAATCAACAAGTGTGTTAACATCTATCAAAGTTTCACACTTCTCTGGCCATTATCTCCGTAACCGTTCAACTTTGGACATAGGTGTTTTGGTTTATATCGGCATACTTTAACATAAGGAACACCCTCCCGAAGTCTGGCACATTCCTCCTGGGACACCCTGTATACTAGTAGTCTGTGTCTTAAGTGAAGCTGGAAGTTGCGAGTGGAGGAGGGTATGTCCAACAGTTGCTGTGAACACAACTAATACTAGAAAGAACCTGTGAAGCGTTCATATACATATTTGCAGCACCTAGTTTTTAAAAACGGTTACCTTGCTTGCACAGCAGTCCAGAATATGTATGAACTCCTGTCTTGACCTTACCGAATCATGTTTGCTCGATCTCAGAATCGGTTGTTAGTAGTTTTGTTTGCAGCAGTGCGGTCACAGTATTTTGTTGTGGATAATGTGTGCGTGTCCTTGTTTGCAACAGTGTGGTCAAAAAATCTCGATTCGGCAGCGTCTGTGTTCCCACCGTCCACATTGACTCCAACACTAGATTTTGACATCTGGGGAGAAATTTATGGAGATTTGATCAGTTGGTGTCCCGAACCGCTACAGGATACATCTTGCACCATGGTGGGCGACAGAAAAGGTTCCAATTGTATTGTACAAGACGATGAACTGAACACGCCAGAAACAGGTAAAATATTTTTTAACATATTAATGATTGCCTCAGTTGAAGTATTTTTATTAACTTCCTAATATTAAGTGCAATTGGAGAAGTACTTATAATGAGTCATTTGATGGCAGGTATTTTATTTAATATGTATGAGGGTTTGGAGGAAACCAATTCATGGTGCTGCTGCTAAATATGGTGTGGCACGGGGAGATCCTTCAGCAGGTCCCCCATCCTTTGGTTATTTCTGATGGCCTCAAGTCCACCATGAACAGTCACGGAATAGGTTTCATTTGGACAACCCTCATGCAAGTGGACAAGAGTTTTTTGAGTTTTATTCACGGTCTTGAAGTTGAAATAAGTAAGACATGTTGAACAGTGTCAGGTGTGAGGCAACATTATGTTCACATTCAGTTTTAACTTCAAGATATGATGAATAAGCATTATGTACGAGAACTTCATACACAGGAAATTTTAATGTTATGAGCATTTTGGTGGGATGAAACATTTCTTATGGGAGAAAACTTAATATTCCCGATAGAAGCTATGTATGTAGGAATGTTCTGTAGTTCAAAGATTCTGGGCATATTGAAGTTGCACATAAGTTACTGGTCATAATGGTGTTAATAGTAAGGTTACCTTAATGGTATGCACCCTGTTGTGTGTCATAAATAAGTTACATCAAATGTATACAAAAGTATCCAGTCAACACAACAATATTCTGTTTTTCAACAAAGACACTGTTGTATCAACTTTTGTTTTTGTTGATGTTACATGTTTTGACCCTTATACTGGGTCATCGTCAGGCGTACAGTGATCCTACTCAGTTGTCAAATTACGTATAACAATTTGCATCTAATTCATCAATAAGGATCCATTTTTCTGCACTTGAGTGTTTTAAATGCATAAATTGAGTCTTTCAGTTAACATTTTAAATACTCAGATAATTAAAAAATTAGAGACTAAAGATTAAAACATAAAATTAAAATTGTACTAAAATGGAAATGAAGTATTTTGTTATAAATCTCTTTAAAAATTTGTGACTGCTATTTGTTGACATGATTTTCTGGTGTGGGGCCCCACACCATAGTCGTTTCTACACCAGAAAATCACGTCAACACATAGTGGTCACAAATTTTTAAAGAGATTTATCACAAAATACTTCATTTCCATTTTAGTACAGTTTTAATTTTTATTCTATATTTTTTAAATTTTATTATCTGAGTATTTAAAATTTTAACTGAAAAACTCAATTTATGCATTTAAAAACAGTCAAGTGCACAATGAAGATCCATATTGAGGAATTAGATGCAATTCAACAACCTAGTCTGGTGTCATTGTATGCCTGATGATGACCCAGTATCAGGGTCTTAACATTTAGTGTCAATAAAACCAAACGTTGGCACGATAGTGTCTACTTTGATTTAAAAAAACAGAATATTGTTATGTAGACTGCATACTTTTATATAGATTTTGTGTACCTTGTTAGTAAGGTTATGTACATTCTTTACTGCATGGACAGAAAAAACAGCTAATGTCTTACTGTTTTACAGGTGTGGAGCCTGAATTTGACTTTACTTCACTCCTTGGTGTGATGGAGACATCAACACTATTTCTATCTGAAGGAGAGGAATCTGTGAACTACAAGGAAAGAGAAACTGCCATGCTTACAGAGATTTTGGCGAGCAGCTTGCCAAGCATGAATTCCAAGCCCAGTGTGCTTATGAACGTGACCAATGAAGTGACTGCTGGAGATGTTCATGTGCTTGGACCACAATCGGCAGTAAAGGAGGGCACTGACAAAATCAGCAACACACCTGTGATCTTGAATCTGTATTTAAGCAAGATGAACCATTTAACTTGGTTTCCTACATTCTTGACGACGTAAGTTCTCCAACCAATGTCCTGAGTATTTAATTTATTGATGTTATACATGTTACCACTTTACAGCATAGATGGATATTTGTATCAGGCCTTTTTTGGGAGGGGAGCTGGGACAGCATACACCTTCATGGCATAATGCTTTATTAGTTAAGCACAGGGACAACATTACTGTGTATGGGATCTGTTTCTTAGAGTACAAGTTCATTCATTCATTCATTTCCTTTATTTTCCATATATCCATACAGGCAAAAATCCTAGGATGTGGAAATAGTCCATTTGATTATAGATGTATACATGTAATAGATTACATAAGTCACACAACTAAAATAACACACACCAGTTAACTAACACAGGTAATATAAAAAAAAACAAAACAACAAGAGCTTATTACAATTGTAACTAAACATAATTTAAAAAGTGCATTACTATAAAAACTTAAAATTAATATAATTTTCCCATAAATCAAAATACATTGATACAGGACTCGTCATATACATACATACACATCCTCCACTTTCCATAAACATCCATACAGGGAACAAACCCAGGATGTGGAATTAGTCATCAAAGACATACACAAAGTCACACAAGTCACACCGCGAAGATCACCCACATTAATTATCTAGCACATACAACAATACAAGGCAAAAAAAGTAAACAAACATAAGTCACAAGTAGCCACAATACAACTCCTCACATCACCCTTACCAACTATATTAAAATGTGGCGTTAAGCATTCAAATTTATGTGCCTTTGTAATTAAAATACTCATTTAATGCATAAAAAGAGTTAGCATGTAAAAATCTTTTTAGGGAACGTTCAAAGGATTTCTGGTTATTAGATAATTGTTTCAGCTCTTTAGGCAGATGATTGTAGATTTTTATACCAGAATAATATGGACCCTTTTGAACTTTAGTAAGAGAAGTACTCGGGGGAAATAGGTTAACATTTTGTCTGGTACCAATATTATGAACCTCCGTCTTTCTCCTGGAAACTGTTAATATTTTGGTGCTGTCAGTAGTCCTGAAATTATGGGACATAATAAAGATTTTAAAAGATGGCACCTGTAGACATGCAAGGAATGAAATGAAAATAAAGAATGTAATTCCACATGCAATCAGATGACCCTGAAATGTATTTGATAGTTCTGTAGGTAGCTCAAATTGTAATAGCATGAAAGTGTTGGTTGCTTAGTGTTTTGTGGAAAATTTTTTATATTATGTTTGCAAATTTGTGATAATGTATTGTAATGTGAGTAAATGTATCTTGTTTGTTGGATTTCAGCTGGTGCCAGGTACCACACTGCCTACCAGTGTGGAGTGTGTTGCTGAGACATCTGGCACTCAACGGAATGATGCAGATTCTGAATTGGAAAATCTTTTACTGCCAAAAGAAACCCGTAGACATCCAGAAAAACGGGAACATCCATCAACATCATGCAGCAGGTCACAGAAGAGAAAATTGTCAACTTCTGTAGCTAGTGAGTCATGGACTCCTGCAAAAAGGTCAAGAATGCCTTTTGTTAATCATACATGTGACCGATACCGAGAGCGACGAAATAGAAATAATGAGGCAGCACGAAAATGCCGAGAAAATACGAAAGCTCGTGAGCGAGATATGAAGGAATTGACTGCAAAGCTTGAGGGAAAAAATGAAAGTTTGAAGAAAAGGGTGGATGAATTGGAAGAGCTTGTAAAGAAGCTCAGAGAAGCACTGTTTAAGGCCGTGGTTAAAATTGGTCAAGAAGGTAGGTGATATGTGACTCTTGAGCTTGACCCGTCAACATTATTGTATGATATGTAATTTGGTTACATACTCATTGGTCAAGAAGGTTATGTTATGTATATATAATGTGTAAGTTTTACCTGTTACCAAAGTTTTAACTTGGTAAATGAGTTTAAATTGTATAATGTTCGTTTGTTCAAAATCTTAAATCCCCGAAAGTTCTTCACTGATTGCTTTGAAATTTTGACACAATGTTGCATTTGAATACGCACGTGGGAACCCACTTGTTGTTCTTGTATTTAAAATTAATTCCTCATTTAGTGACCAGTTCACAGTGTTTATTAATTTGTTCAGTTGGTAATGATTTATTTTGAGGAATTAGTGTTTATATCTCAAGTCAGTAAAAAAAAAAAACCTGTCCCTGTAACAGGCAATGGAGGCCCATAGGGTTGTGAGATGTTAAGGGTCCCACATTATCTAGACAGTCGGCTCACAGATGGCGGTAAGGTTGTCAGCCATATGCACAGGCCGCCCTTTACCACCCAGGAAGATTCCTGGTTCTCATTTCTGTTAGAGGCTGAGTCGACCCCAGGACCATAGTGCGGCTGGAGGGATTAGGTCAGTTGAAGAACTCCCACTCATTGGGGCTCCGGTTTGTAGCATAGTGCCTCAACCAACTATGCTACTGCCTGTATGAAGTCAGTAATCTTGATAAATTTCCTCAACTTAATATTCAAATCCATTGCTCCACAAAGGAACCATAAAAGTCTGAGTAATATTGTATTTCTTTGTAGTTGCAGTGTCCTACATCCTGCTTAAGTT